GTCGTGATCCTTCGCGGACCGCGCGAGACGGCGAGGGCAACTGTGCCGATTTCTCGAGATCTATTCGAGATGTACGATCGAGTCGTCGACGATTCGCGGGGAAGCATTTCTCGTGGAAAGGTACGAATTTAAACGTGGAACTGTCTTACCTCTGCCGCTTCTACCGACGAACCTAAGATCGTTGAATTTCGCCACCTGGTTCTTCATCACCGCCGTGGAATTCCGCAATTCCGCGCAGCAGTTCTCGTCGTTGCCAGCACGCACTGTCACCAGGGTCCCGTCACCGACCTCGCCCAGGGCTACCACCTTAAACGCTACCGGAAGCGTCTTGTTTGACCGCCAGTGAGCCGGCAGTACCGTGCAGACCACGTGCGGGGAGCCTGTTGACAGCCACCGCGGAATTATCGGTAAACAATCGGCAGATCGGGTCTCGATACGAAGCGAGATCGTAGATACGGTGTGGATCATAGACCGTAGCCATGGATTCCCCGATCTTCCTCGAATAATTGGAAAATTTACGCCCCGATTCGTCAGGCCTGACTCTAAGAATCTCGTTGGACCCCGAGTCTACGTCTTCACCGATCTACGATCTCCGATCTCCGTCACGTGGAAAGAATCCGTTTCGATTGGTTTTACCTGTCCGTACAAGTTCCCCGGGATGCTCGGCGAACAGGCCGTCCAGAGTTCTCTCGGCGAGCAAGTCCGCGGTGAGGGCATAGTCCGGTAGAGTGTTTCCGCCAGTGGATCCTTGTGCAGGGACCTCGTTGGCCAAGTGCATTCTTCTCCTCGACGACGAGGTCCTGGTCCGTCTGATTCTCGCGCCACCGATCTGATGCGTCGAGTTTCCCTGATGATCCTGATGTCCGTTTCGCACCAGTCTAGGGTCCGGATAGTCCAAGCCTAGAGGCCGATCCTCGGGGCGTGCATCTCGTAAAGGATTCGTCATGAGAACGGGTTCATCGGACTCTTTAACGGAAAGGTCCTCCTCGTCGGCAACCCGCGAAGGATTCGATTGAATCTTCCTCGACTCGATCAGCCAGCTGTTCCTCTATTGCTCGCGATCCATTCGACGCTCGACCAAAATCTTCGCGCTTCCTACGCTCGGTGAATGACGAAAAATGCGCTCGAGGGTCGGTTAGGTGGCTCGACGAGATTGGACTAATAGAGTAGACAGATGGCGGTGATTATCCAGCGACTAGCGGCTGATTAAAGAGGAATCTCCGGCCTGCTCGGCGGCACGCGCACAGCTTCGTCGGCCCCGCGTGGCCCAGGACCCTTTGATCCTTATTTCATTATCCCGCGACGGGGCCGAGGTAAGAGCATCCGTTTGCAAATTCTTCCACTCGTCTCGATTGCCAAGTCGCGGAGAAAATTCGTTTTATTGGAATCCACGTCGACCACCCCTCGCTTCTTCGTTTCTTTGATCGGTTGCACCCCACTCCGCGACGCCGATTCGACGGAAGTCGTTCGTCAAACCTTCGCAGACGAATCTACTACCCTTCGTTGCTCGCGGTCCGCGAATTAATACACGACTCACGAGCGTGCACCGCTCCGAAATCTTGTCCCCAATGTCCCGTGGTCGATCGAAATTACTCCGCGTCCCTGTCACATCGACACTTCAGCCAGACCATCTAACAGGTGTTAACTCTGCACCCGGGATCCTCCAAGCCAGCTCCGACCGCAACACAAACCTCACATACGCACATTATTCTTCCCAAGGATCCTGGCTGCCGCGGTACACCACCGAATCAACCACCTTTACTGTCATCGAACCAGTCACCAGACGCGATAGTCCACCACACCGACACGTTTCCTCGACGACGATCTCTCGCGAATTATCGCGAATCGATCGCAACTGGTGGATCAACTATTCGTTTACTTGGAAACTCGTTGCATTCGTCCACTGACAACCTGTTCGCCGCTTGGAATCCAGAGCGAACGCGGGCCACGATCCTCTGTCCGCGACAGGTCCGGCAACGCGTCTTCGACGAAGAGACGTTCCAGTGGCGCGAGTAGGAAAATTCGAAAATTCCGAGGATTCGGTGGGCTGTCAGCGATGGAGTACGGGACCAGAAGGCGAGAGATACTTCTTCGTGGCTGCTACTTCGGCGGGTGGCAGCGGCAACTTCCACGGGGAAGTAGGATAGGGTGTTTAACTCGCGCGGTCTCGTTTCGGTTCGGCGGTGGAAGATGGCGGCTTCTGCGGTGGAGCCGCGCGGTGTGGTTGCGGTGTATTTTTGAGGCTGCCGCCCCCAGCCACCACCGAGACCACCCTGGCTAACCTACCCCTCCGTGCCTCTCTTCCACGCCGCCGCCACCGCCGCCTGGCCGTACTAAGCGACTGGTGGGGGTTGGTTTTTCCAAGCGGTGGGGAAAAATCTCTCTCTCCTGCTGCACCCTCTTCCGCGATCCTGATGCTATACTCCTGCTGATCGCGACTACCCGATGACAACACCCGTTGTCTCTCTCTCTCTCTCTCTCTCTCTCTCTTTCTCTCTCCTCCCTTCCACCCCTCTCTCCTTCTTTCTCCCGAGTTTGTCACACGTTTGGGAGGATCGCGAAGGAATACCTTCGGGTCGGAGATCTCCCTCCAATGACCAGCGGAATCTCTTTCCGTAGCTTTCCTACGAGTTCCGTTCCTCGCGAGAATTCGATTTACTCCACGATAGTCACTGTACACGCCGATTAGTCACGAAGTCATAGTCAATCCAGGCTGATTCGTCTGTTCCCGCGTGTCTCCACCTGCCACGTCCGCGCGATCGCCTCCACACTGCCAATCATCCTCGTCTCTATCATCGTCCACGCGCCTCATGTTCGCGGCTACTTTAAACACCTAACCACCTGGACATCGTCTTCGTTCACCCACTCCTCTGCGCACGACTCTTCCACCTATCACGTCACTACCTCGGAACATACGCTTGGACGTTGATGGGTCTCCTCCGCTCACTCGCGAGGAACACGAGGGTGCTCGTATGCAAATGGACGGCGCGCCGAACGGTTAACCGAAAACACCACGAGCTTCCCGCGGCGGTTTCGCGGCGCCGAAAAGGAGCAGCGAAATAAAAGGAAGTCGCTGCCTGGTCTGTAATTACTGCACGGTCGCCGGGATCGTTTCCACGTTGCGGTCGCTCGGTACACCGATAACGAGCTTGCCTCTCGGCTTCCTTCGACGCCGTTCGATTGTCTTTTTCCCGTTTCCTCGTCGAGCCTTTCCTGCTTCCGTCGTTCAACGACCTCCCCGCGCGAGGCTGCAAAACGACACTGGGAAGAAAGGGAAAACAAAGACGGCAGAAAGGTCCCTCGTGTAGTTGCGTTTAGCACCGAGGAATACGGGGGTTGCGCGATGCTCGGGGGCTCTTCGAGGGTGCAGGGCGAGCAACGAAGACGGGCGAAAGTCTGAATGGGGGAGAGAGAGAGGGGAATACTTTGTCTTAATGTCCCCGACATGCGAGCACCGCTGCAACGGGTAGAAACGGATCTATCCAGATTGCTAGGGTGGACCGTCTTCGAGTGGTCACAGTTATCGTTATTGCCACGCGAGGATTCCACGAAATTTCGGAATCGGCGATACCGCAGACGAGACGATAAAGTGTCTTCCTTCCTTAAGTGAAAGAGAAAGAAAGACAATTCTCAACCCCTTCCGAGATATCAAATTAAATTAATAATAATAAGAAAAGACGCTTCGACTAGACTCCCAAACAGAGATAAATTATATTTCGCGTTGCTCTTTTCCCTTTCCTTTTTTCTTTCGAAGTTGATCACGAGCCCGAAACAAAATTTGGAGATCGGGGTTGGAAAAAAGGGGTTGAGCGGAGAGAATATCGGTTGATAGGATGATCGAGAGCGAATGGCAATCTCGCCGCGTTTCTCGTTCGACCGACGCCAGAAGACTATCGATCATGACGGATCTGTAGCAAGTTACGAGGATCCCTGGCAGGGAGAGAACACCCCATATAATCCCACACCCCTATGGGGTAACAATGCAACGCCTCCGCGTGCCTAAATTGCCGAGTTCCCAAGATGCGTTTCGTCATACGCTTCGGACCCCCTGACGAAGCGTCGCCTTTTTTCGCCTCCCACCCCAGCCCCAGTTTTCGAAACACTGCGACGCATCGTGTGCACAGCGAACCGAGAGGAATGCAATAATTTCGCGATCGTCATTTAGTCGGCTAATGAGCACGATCGTTCATAAATACGAGCAACGACTCGGACGAGCTTCGGGCGAAATTGGAAATTAACGATCACCGATCGAACGGAAGCGAAGCGCGGACTCGCGAGGATTCTTATCCTCTTCTCGTCAGAGGGTGGAAAAGAGATGGAAAAACGCGTGTTTGCGGAATTCTTCGCGCGTTCGACGCGTAAGAAGCGAGGAAAATGCGTCTGGAGGGCTGAGGGAATTCGAAAGTCGCGTGTAACCCTCGCGGGGAAAAACACGCGTTGGACGGTGCAAGAAGAGGAACGAGGGAGGCAGACAGGTGGGAAAGCGGCGGGAAATAGGTGGGAAATAGGCAGGATATTTAACAGGTTCCGGATATTTCGATAAAATCGTGCCTCGCGCTCGAGCCCGCGTGAGTTTTTCACAAAAAGCAGGTATTTAATTATATCGTTCGGTTCGACGTGATTTCGTGTAATTAAATCCTGTCTCCATAAAATTACCAGCCGAAACGGTCAAGCGACAATATTTTTCAATTAAAAGAAAAATATATTCGATTACGTGACCGGTGTCCGGCGTTTCGCGCCCGCCTCGTTCCTCCTCGTTTTTACGATTCCCTTTTTATTTTTTCCCCGCGTTGCTCTCGGCCTTTTGACGGTAACGATATTCCATAACCCGCATCCGACACGGTCCACATAATCGGTATCGCGGTGGTGAATGCTGGACGATTATCGACGCACTTTTCCGTACAAATTAATTGGCCCAATTATCGACACCGAACAATTACCTACTGGCGACCAATTAGATCAACGCTGGTCGTTGTTCCCGCGCTGCCTGGCAAGAAATAATTGGTGCTCACGTTCCCCTCCCCGGCCCCACTTTGCTGGCCGAAAAAATGAAAAAATCGTTAACCGAAAAACAAAAATAGAAAAAGAGGGGAAAGGTCACAGCCCCTGAAGCGGAGAGAGAACGCGCGAGATTGGGAGAGGAGAGAAACGAAGAGAGCGGAGATCGGTGCAAACATTGCGAGATCGATCTCGATCGCAAGACTACGTACACACAACGACGAATCGCGAACCCTTCGTACGACCACTGTCCGACACTTATTCCACCGACTATGACTCGCGACGAATGCGAGACGAACCCGACGAATCCGACGTGACCCACGCACTGTCCACGCAACGACGATACGAGACTCTCGCGATGGAGACGTCTGCTCCTCGACTCCTCGACCAGCGCGTGTCACTTTGATTTTCGCGGTCGCGGGAACGTCTACGGGACCAAGTCGGGAAACGTGGCGGCTCGAGGGGGGTCGGCAGGGAGCGGAAGAAGGGTAGCGTTGTAGAACGATGGTAATCACACACGGTTAGCACATGTTAGCCGGGGCCAATTGTCGAAAAAGGCCGCAGCTCGTCCTCCAAGACGGCCACGTCTTGGGGGGACTAGGGGGTCCTCTAGGTGAGAGGATCGTCGCGGGGGTGGCAAGGGGTTGGAAACGATAGAGGCGGCGCCGGAGGCGGGTCGCAGTTTTTCACGAGTTTGCGCATGCGGCTACTTTTATACCCCACCAGCGTTGCCGCCGCCTTGGCGTTCTTAAAGGCTTCTTAGGGTGAGTTTTGTCCCCTACGCCGTCACCCCCGCCAGCCTCGCGCAGCCACCACACCGACGGCGGCTGGGCTTTACGCCGTTTTCCAAAGGGTTGCACCCGCGGACACGATGCTTGCGGACGATGACAGTCTCGGTGAACCTCGGCAAAGTTCAAGCTTTTTCTCCGTCCACGCCTCCGTCGAATCCGCGGAACGTTGGTCGCGGGACTAAATGCCTCTGGGTCAGGCGAAATATCATCGTCGAAATACGCAGAGGAGATCGATTGTTCGAGACAAAGAGAAATCCCGTAAGCAGCGGAAACAAGTGTACATCTCGAAATATATATATTCTCTTGGTTCTCCTCGTCTTCGTTGCCACCGTTCCCGATATTCC